GGACACTCGCTGCAAATAGTAACAAAGCTTTCTCTCGAATGAAACAGAGAAAGGAGAAAAAGTCCTACAAGTATAAAGTTTTCAATCGTTTTCCTGAGATTGGTGGGTTTGGCTCTTCGGAACCTTCTATTCAATAGCATATTTGCACCAATAATTTGAAAGCTGTAACAGTTTTCTTGTCCATGATGCTGGGACCATTGTGAAAAAAAGCTCTCAGAACACAACAGAGGGCGCGATTGTCAGTTACAAGGTGAGGTGAAAAAATAATGCAGTATTACGTATTATGTTTCTCCACTGCGTTGAAGTTGATCAAGCGTCTGGTTTGTTTTATTTACTGGAATGGGACGCCAGTTATCTGTGCGATGTAAATTATCAGCAACACGCTTGGTTTCAATCACGATTCGCTGCTTCGCTGTTTTTCTCCAACTTGGCACCATTTCTGTTCGGGTTCACCAGCAGTAACACCAGGGCGCACCACCCATCATGCCAGCCCTGTCGTGCGGTGCGGTCAGCCCAGCTGCGCAGCGTGTTCCAAAACACACCCGAGGCCGATGCATTTCCACAAAAATCCACAAGAATTTGGGAGAAAAATAATAAGAAACATACACGGGAAAGAAAAACCAGCACGGGAGATAACCGGAGGTACAATGCTCCGTTCCGTCGCGATTCCCGCGTGAATTTCAAGCCGCGTGCAGAGGTAAACGACCGCCAGAGAAAGAGGAAAAAATCCCGGTGAACTTGCCAATGGGACCCTAGAGTGTAGTTCCGCTAACTCGCGATCTTTCGGCCCGGGCGACCGCGAATGACACACGGGGCCAGACTGGAGGCATCGTGGTGCTCTGAACGGACACTGGTGACAAAAATATTATGGCTTTCATCGTTCTTAACTCCAGCTGTTGTTGTTTTTTTGCGATGGTGGACGCTATTTGACTCCCCGTAATGACTTCTGCAGCTTGGAGTGGGTTTGGGTTGGAATGGACAAGCCACGCTGTCGGTAATGGACTCGTAAAAATGACGGGGAATTACATCGTTATTATCGCCACAGTTACAACCGGTGCGCGCAGGAAAAATATAAGCATGGCAAATAAACGGCTCACAAATGGTAGCATGCAGTGAATTCCGATCACATACTGTGCGGATTACTGAAGTTTACACGAGCATGCACAGACAACCAGAGCTTGCAAATCTGACTCGTAGCCCCCCCCCCTCAGCCTGCCAGCTTGCGACGCCCCTTTTCGCATTTTTTTTTGTCAGCCTTTGGTGAATAGAAAAACACAGCTGATGATTCAGCAATGCAAAAATTGACCTGGGCCAAAGAAAGAACAAAAACAATTCATGCATGCTGAGAAGATGCACTGGTCGTCTGTCATGACAAGGCCTCGCTCGTCATTCAAACACTCAGACCAAAGACACTGTTCCCATTCTTGTCATTTCTGTGACGGTGCATCTAGCTCGCTCATTGGTCGCCCTCAGCCACGAACACGGCTGCTAGGGATGCACGTTGACCTCCATACGCTTTTTTGTACATGTACTAGTAAAGAGGGTCAAGAATCATTTCGGAAAAAACAATTTTTTTAGGGGGTAGGATGGGCAAAACTTGGAAATTTCTGTATATAACCCTTTCTGGCAGGAGGGGTTAAATATATGGGCCTTTTACTTGCTGTCGAAAACGTGAGAACTGAAATAATCAATCGCACTTCTCTTATGATTCCCCTCCGCACCACCAAAAATGCTGCATGGAGAGACACGGTCTCCGTTGGCTCTCTCCTGGATCCGCCGATGGAGGAACAGGGCAGTACATGTATATACAAACTAATCTTGGCAGCATCATCCGAGTTTCTGTTTTCACTGAAGAGTTTGATCTCTCCCCCCTCCTCTAGGTCCCCCTCCCCTCCCTGCGTCTGACCCGTGGCGAGAGCAGTCTTGGCCCCCGGCCCTTACCCTCCGACCCCGCCTTGGGCCCTGCTGACGTGCCCCGTCCATCATCACCCGATCTGTGTCAGCCGCGACACCTATAAATGTGTTGCAAGCTGACAGGTTTACTGTGCGTTCCGAAGGTGTCTGAAATTAATGTCATTCACCCGAGAATAGGCCACGAGTTACCGATCAACAGTATAGTTTGGCGCTGCCTGGCGCTTGAAACCCTTGGCAAACCTTTGCATCTGCTGATCTGGTGCAAACAGCGAGGCAGTAACACTATAGACAGCGCCCTCTATTTACCCTTGACGCTCATGTCAAATTCACTGCTATTTCTACCTAGCGTCAGCGTTTTTAACGAATCGTATAGTTCAAATTTCATAATTCTACACAACAACCTGCCAGCAAGATACTAACGGAACTGTAATCTTGGCAAAATGTGCGTCATCAGCGAAATAACCCGTTTAACGCATGACTGCAATTTGTGTGTCCCGCATCAGGTCACAGGTAAAAAATTGGCACAGACTTGAAACGAGTCTACGGAGGTGCTGCTTAATAGGCTACTCGTGAATTATTTGAAACTGGTTTTGTGCCAGTAGCGGTTACAACAGCCTTGTAGTAAAAAAACAAAAATCCCCCATAAGAAAAGATACCCTTTTCCCCTGACCGTCCCCTAAAAGTTCCCTGGTCATCTGGTCATTCCACTCGGGGTAATCGTGGCAAAGTAACCCCTCTCAAAACTCGCCACCGTAGGCTGCTGAAGCAATTTATTCCCAATTTGGACCGTATTTATTCAAGTTCAAGATCACACCGATTGCCCCCAAGGCCTATAGGCTCTTTCACGGGGCCTTGTCTTGCTGGAAAAGTTGTTGGCGACTGCGCGCAGCCGACGAGGGAAGCTTCACCAACACCCAAGGGAGGGCCTCTGTACTAAGACGTCTACATTGTTTGGCTGGTCAGTGACCCACACACTGATCAGGTATAAATCGCATCCGTTGTTCACGTGGCCACAGGCTGAGGGAAGTCTGCCGGCTTGATTAAGCGCAAGTTTTCCATCTCAACTCCGACTAAGCGGCAATCCAGCCAAAGCGATTCTCGAGTGTTGTACCAGACACTCCAAAACCTCGTTGTGGAGTGGGTAATTTTACACGTCACACTGTCATTTTTTTTTCATTTCTGAGATTTAGCTGCAAGTCTTACCCGATATTCCACACCACACCGCCCAGTTGGGAAAAACATGAGTTATTCTGGCCGTGAGATTGTCAGTGATGAATGCTGTTCCAAGCTGAACTGAACACTCGTTTAAGAAGACAGTCAACTGCAGCACACAAACTTCCCTGTGAAATGCGTGTGCGTGAGATGTTTTCCTTTAAAAGTCGTTGACCCATTTCGGTCATGAAATTATAATGTAAAGGAGGCCAGAAGATGTTGAAGTTGCATAAAGTGCATGTTTGTTGATCGACCACGATAATGATAATGCCTTGTCTTCCTTGAAAGTGAAACCTAAAACGTATGCTTGAACCGCAAAAGTCCAGTGAGGGGACTAACTACTTTTATTTGAAGTCTCGATGAATTGACGCCGTAAAAAAAAATCAAAACACGTCAACGGGAGAATGAAATAACTGAAACATGGCCTGTTATAATCTCTCCGTACTTTTTTTAGTTCGCTCCCCTTTTGCTCTGCGCGAGTCAAGGCCCGTGGACGGAGGTTGCCCGCACTCCTAACCCAGTCGCACCTGCATCCTTCTCGATTCCCCTGGAGAAGGGGTTGGAGCAATTAAGAAAGCATCAGTCAACATCCCCGGGCCCAACGTAGACGGGGGAGAATCGGGGATATTTTGCTTACCCGGCGGTGAGATACCGGCCGTCATTGTCTCGTCCACTATGCGAACACCGAGACCTTTGTCGGTGTGAGTGTAGTGAAAGAAATACCTCCATTTTGTGCGCTGGGTTGACGCGAAGCGGTTTGTTTTTAAACCATGGGGACTGCAACTCAGATTTGGAGTTCTTGTTTATACGGGTTCTGTCTTTTTTCAAGACCTAAGCAGTACATGGGCATTTTGTGCCGGAAATGAATGTGGGTGGATTGAAAATTGTCCTTTCATTAAGATCAATATGCATAAGTACATGTACTGTTATCCAACTGGTTTTGCTGACATCAACAACGCTAAAAATGGAAACTTTCTCCTACTTTTTTTTGCTGCACTAAGTGGAAGTGTGGGCTTATGCGGAAGTATGCCTTATTTTATGTCTCCACTTGTTCAAGATGATAAAATTCATTTTCATTTCACCTTGCTGTTTTGGAAACGAATTCAAGGGTATTCAGCGTGTATTTACCTCTAACGAAAGTGTTTCACTCTTTTTTGTGTAATCAAAGTTAAGCGCCCTCACGTGCCTGATTTGATTGAGACTCCTTCCTCACTCGCCGAAAATACGACTGATTGGTTCGTGGGAAGATTCGTAAACAGACGAACACGTCTAAAAAAGACAACCGTTAGTTGCTAGGTGGGAGTTGCGTGAAGGGTCCATGTTGTTTATATTGTTCTCTCATCAGTAATTCGAAAGGCTACAGAATAGCTTATCCGCCTTGTGCAGAAGCACCCTCTCATCGGTTCAAAAGAGCCAGGTTGGTGTGGAGTGTTCGTTCTGTTAATAGCTACACGACCACAACCTACACATTTCATTGTCGTTCGCTAACAATCGAAGGGCAGTTCCTATCAATGGCGCCTCCGTTGCTTGGAAAATTGCGCCCTCTGTTGGTTGCGCTCTGGGCTCTTGAACCTCAGTCACCGTTCTCAAAAGAACCAATGAACTCAATGTTCTTTCTGGCACTTTCGGGCAGCATGTTCTAGCCGTCGTTAAAGACGTTTCAAACATTACAATCGCTTCCTCCACAATGCAAACCTCCATTCCGCATCTCAACGAGCCAGTTCGGTATTCCAACAGCACATGCTCAAAATGCAATATCAGTGCGCCTCTTACGCTTTGTTCCTGAATGACCTTACTTTTTTTTTTGAAATACCGAACTCGTTCATTCGTGAGGTTAAAGTTCTTTTTTTTTCATTATTTTCTGTCCTCCGCAGGCCGTCTACGACAAAGCGGGCGTTCAGTGCAAGTGCCACGGCGTGTCCAGCTCCTGCAGCCTCAAGACCTGTTGGCTGCAGCTGGCCGAGTTCCACGACGTGGGCGCCTACCTCAAGGACAAGTACGACGGCGCCTCCCGGGTCCGCTTCAACAAGAAGGGCAAAATGGAGCCGTACGAGGCCCGCTTCAACCGGCCCAGCAAGGACGACATGGTGTACCTGGAAGAGTCGCCCGACTACTGCACCTATGACCCTCGGGCCGGCTCGCTGGGAACTGTGGGCCGGGAGTGCGTCAAGACCTCCATGGGGACGGAGGGCTGTGACCTGATGTGCTGCGGGAGGGGGTACAACTCGTACACCAAGGAGGTGGTGGAGAGGTGTAACTGCAAATTTAAGTGGTGCTGCTATGTACAATGTAGGAAGTGCAGACGGACTGTGGACGTGCATGTCTGCAAGTAGTGCTGACTTTTTAAACCATGTACCGGACGGTATTGGGTCAGTCTGGTGAATTTCGAAATCTTTTGTATACACCAAGTGTGGATTTCTGATGGACAGAGAATCGACAGTATATTGCAGGGTTAGGATCAGCATGGTGATCGTGCCACAAGTGGGAGGTCATCATGGTATGGCGAAATGTACAGACGTCCTTTTCAGACAGAACATTGACTATCGGTTGTAAGTACTTGATATTTCGGCTGTTGTTCAACGGTTGGACGAGACAGCTGACGTTGAAAGGCCATTGCAATTTTTATCTGGACATCAGTACCAGTGCTCATGTTAACAGTCAATCAATATGGCAACTTTGGGTGTATTTTAAAGATTACCCGTGTCCCCTGCTCGTGATAAGTCTCAGTCAGGTAGATGCCTCGGTCTAAAAGAAGACACCCAACTTCACCCTGGCCAAACTATTTTTAGATGCAGTAAACTTTTGTTAAAGCTTGAGGCACCGAACCCGGCATGGATTTTTTTGCTGAGCTAGTGAAACCTCAAACTTTCAGCATCGACGAGAGAGGCCTGCCAGTCACATTGCCGGAACCGGCGATACCCTCTAAATGCTGTCAAGGAGGGAGTTTGCAGGCATTTTAGGGGCCGGCTCTGCTCGGTTACCTGGTCTCAGAATCGTCAGGTCGAGGTACATCACTGTTCGGAGGTATATTGCACAGCACTGATGTACGGTAGCAAGATGGAGAAAGTATCGTAGTAATCGATGTCCAGGGGTTAACAGTAATTTTGGTAACTAAAATAATAATAATAATTGTAGTTAAATGTTCCTCCTACATTGTAACGATGTACAGAATGAAATAATTAAGACTGATACAAACGTTTTTTAGAAAAGATATTCAACATTTGACGTGTACATAGTGTGTATTTTACGTGCGGAGGTGCTCATTTAAGAGAAGATATTTATCGTTGCCAGTATTTAGAACTTAAAGAGCGCCCTCAAGTTTATTTACATTTAGGAGTCTATGTTGGCTCTCTTCAGAAGGAAAAATCAAGCAAGAGCATTGTAATGCGCATCATTTTTATGTATGATGACAGCTCTTAAAATCCCACTTTTCATTTTTTTACACTCTCGAAGTATGATCAGTTGAGTCCTTGGGAAAGATGTCTCCTTGTTCTGTTCCTGAAACCGGAAACAGTATTTTTTGTTTGGTTATTTACAGCGCAGCGTTTACGAAACGGTCAAAGTTGGTTGAATTGCACCTGCAACAATGGTATGTTGTCGTTTGTATCATCGAATACATGGAGAGGCAGGTGTTGAAGTGTGCACCGTCGTTACACAAACACGTGTCCGTGAGAAGCACACATTTCTTGTTAACTTGATCGAAATCCATGTACCGTATATCTTCGCTTGAGCCCCGTGTAGGGGCGTGTGAGGCATCATAGGTCCGAGAAGTAGTGGTTAGAAATGTCTAGATTTCCACTTTCTCTTCCCGCAGTGCACCATCAAAAAAGCAACTACATCCTGGGGGATGTCATCGGTTTATACGTGGGGCAGATTATGAAAGCGAAGCGACTCTGACGTCACGAAAGATTTGCAGCAAACTTTGGCTCGAATTGAAATGTCTTCAACTTTTGCAAATTCGCAGCGCGACTATTTCATCTGTTCGCTTTCGCGCCAAGTCTGAAACGGTCGGTGAGTGGCGAAACTACGAAGGAGGGTGGCACGTTCTTTTGGGTCCTTCCCTCATTTGACATTTTGAAATGTGCACAACCCTCCTACAAGCCACAGTGATGGTTTTTCTGTGCCCCCGTGAAAAAAAATGATTACACCCTCAGGAGCCTCCTCGAAAAGTTTTACTTCTGTTACGCTATTGGTTAGTGTACGGTTTTAGCAATGTTGCACAAATCACCTTTTTGTTAAAAATTACGCAAAAGCTGACAGTGGGTACTTATAGCTTGATTTCTAAGGCATAAATCAACCGAGAATTACGCGGAAAAGTTAGAGATTCACAATATCGTGATTCACGCAGACATGTCAGCTATTATGTGTGTAGAAAGCTTTTTAAACGCCAATTTTATACCTGTACAAAATATTAACTTGTAAAGATTGAAATCAAGTTGAAATAAGCTGTCTGTAAATAAGACATAATCGAAGTTTGATAACTTCGGGTGTAGATCTAGAACTTTTTAGGATCTAATAATCCTGGATAAAAATGATTTTTTTCAAGAACTATGTCTTTTGATATTGCGGAAATTTTGACGCCGATTAAAAGAATTTTGCTTATTTTGTGGTAAATTTTGCGGTTGTTTACCACAGGTGAATTTTGGGAGCAACACAGAGCTTGCTAGTTCCGTCATTCGCTCGAAGAAATGCGCTTGGATTGAAAAGGACCTAATTTATGAAATTATTGATGACTGTCGTATGTGACCTTCACAAGGATCATGATCTAGAAGCAGACCTTAGTACTTTGAATATTCATTACGCGTTATGTTAATGTCATGTAAATTATGTATATTGTAAATAATATTTGCAACTATTATGCAACATCACCGAATTCAGCATTCATATGGAATAGTAGCGGAATGAAATCATGGCAGAACGTAAAGCATTATTCATTATAGTCATAAACATGTACTTTCCACGTGTATTTTGATTTTTTTTCTGCAAATTGCGTTTTGTATCTTTGCCAGTAGAGGGCGTTACTTACTCCGTTATTTTGCAGAGTATGCCCACGGACGAAGTATTGTGACGTGCGAATTGATACCGTGTCTTTATTAATTTGAAACCACGTTGCCAAACCCAGCAAGTACCGTGTTCCTCCAGGATGTGATAGTCTTGACTTTACGTTCCCCGGTCGCATACAGACCAGAATTAGCACGAACAACGGGACGGAGGTATTTGTGTCCCGCGAGCGAGATGTTGGCTTTGTGTGGTTCACACGGATCTGAATCACTATCAGCGATCCGTCGTTGACTTACGGAAACCAAACTCGCCTCCGGGATGGTGCAATCCAGCGTTATGATCTCTGATCGAAATATAGATCTGTGTGAAACAACAGGCCCGTTGACATCCAGACATGATTTTGTCGCGGGACGACGACATTCCAAGAGTTGGGTGTGGGCATCCTCGGGTAATTTTACCACTTACATTCAGGACGATGTCATTCTGTGATAAATCATGAGAGGATGTCGTCATCCCACTTTCGGGATGCGATTCCCTGATAAATTATCACAGGTACCCCCTTTCGTGATAAATTACCAGAAGAGAGGATGTCAGAGTCTCGTAGTAAAAGGGTGACAGACAAATCACAAATCTACGATCATTTCAGTAATCTTAGTATTTTTCACTTCGAGCGACAATACATAGCCGTGACCTGAACCAACAATCTTCTGGTTAGACAAAGCCAGTAAAAACAACAAACGCTACAAAAGCAAGTCCACAAATTTTGCCTTCTGTGGCAAAGCAACTGAACTACTATGAAGGAAAATTTTCGAAAGGGAATTCAACGACTCCTGTGAACTTCTGTGCGTCTTTGTCTAGTAACTGTGACTAGTGTTCTTCACAAGACTATACCTCAACACGGCACTCTTGTTTCTTACCGAGCCGGTAATATCTGAGTCCTTGAATTACAAAACGTGACTACTCGACCAGAGATTGTCAAAAATTACTGGGAAGTTTGTGGATAAAACACATCTACATCCTGAAAAGTTCGTCAGGTACATGTACATGTGAACTTCAGCGAGGTTTAATTAAGAGAGATGTTGAAAGAAGAATGCAACTCCACAAATCAAAACAGGACTACACTGTTTAATACAGGCCCCCAAATTAATCAAATTTGTCAGACGAAAATGTTGAGGCCATTTCACCTCTTATTAAAAATCTTATCGTTTTCCATCCTAACATGGGCAGGTGGCCAAGTGGTTAAGGTTAGTGACTCTTAACCACAGGGTCAGGGGTTCGAATCCAGCTGCTGGCCATAAGTTGTGGCTTGGCAAGCCACTTAACACCCTTGACTGCCTCTCTCCATTCAGGAGTACCAAGGGAATATGAGAAATTATTCTCAGTGGTTTCGTGCTGAGGAAATCGTAGACAAACACCGGCCTGATGAGCCAGATGGCCCGGAACGGACCTGCTTGACCATCCTCAGAATTAGCCCCCAAGGAAATCACTCTAGAACCTATTAATCGAGCCATCGTTGAAAGAAAGTGCGACAATGCCTAAACTGTTATTTCTAGAAGTTGATTTTTGTAAGTCTGCTGCCTCTTCATGGACTCCAATGAACACAAGTTAGAAAAAATGAAAACAGTAAGAAAAGAACTAAAAGGTAATCTTATTTTAAGAAAATAATACAGATGTGTATAAACACTCATCAGATTTGCTTGTGCACACTTTTCGAGGACCAAAATGTTACCACATGATGAAAAAAGTCACATCACAATGTCTACTTAACAATTAAATGAAATTTCCATTTCTTCGAACGAGGCTATCACAACAGGAGTTTTAAAAAGTAGTGTTTATGCATTAAAAAAATCACTTTTAAAACTCCTGTTGTGATAGCCTCGCTCACTTTAAGCTTGTCCTTGTTAAAACTTGTCAAGCTCAAAATTGTTACTCCATAAGTACACTTTGTTACTACCATTTGGTATGTACATCGATTGAATGGACCTCGTATTCCGAAGTGTCACTTTCTTTTTCTGTTTGCAAATGTATGTCTCCACAAAGGCTCTCCGATATTTGGAATTGGTCACGTTGTACACGATGGGGTTGACAGCCGAATTGATAAACAGGAGCGCGCGGCTGACCCACTGCACGATGCCCCGCTGCCCCCGATTCAGGATGGGCTCGACGTTCGGGTGATCGGTGATCATGGCGGCTAGCGTGTTGACCTGGGCTGGCGCCTGGCAGACGAAAAAGATCACCCCAGTCGCTATCAGCATGACTGCGATCTGTCGCCGGGACCGGAGTACGTTGCTCATGGCCTGGTTGTACCGCCGCCGGTTGGCCAGTCCCGGGATCTTCTTGTTGAGCTGAATTACAATCTTCGTGTAGATGTACCCACTGCTGAACATGGCTGTGAAAAAGGGCACCATTTTGAAGCCGTTGGAAACGTATTTAAGCCACTGGGCCGTCTCAGGAGGTTGGCATAAACCATATTCCTTAGGAAACTTTTCAAATTCTTTCCCTTCGGGCCGAATGACGCATCTCGTTTTCATAGTGACCAAAGAGGGGATTACTAGGGATGAAAAGACAATGGCTACAAACCAGGCGCCAACAATGAGTTTTGTGGTTCGTTTTTTCCCAACCACGACCCTCTGGTGAAGGGGTCGACAGATGGCACAGTATCTCTCGTACGACACCAGGAACACCATGAAGACTGACCCATAGAAGAAGATGAGGATGACACAGTTGACAAGGACGCATCCCACTGGACCTATCGGCAGCTGATCGAATACTATCGGCGATGAAGTATACTGTACTAACGCCGGCACGACTGCCGAGACTAGAAAACCGATGTCAGCCACAGCGAGGTTGGCCAAGTAGGCGTTGGTGATCGTCCGCATGGTTCGCCGGCGGTAGACTACGTAGAGGAATGCCAAGTTGGCGGTCACTCCGAACAGGGTCAGAAAGGGCATAACTCCGACAATGACGAACGTGCCGCTGTTGTACATGACGCTGCGTGCGACATCCTCCTCGGTGAAATTTGCGCATTGGGAGTCGGGCTGGGTGTCGTTCGGTTGACTGTAATTCAGTTTGTAGGGCCCCGGCTCCATGATTGGCCTAATTTTAGTCACGTATTTTAGCCAGCATTGAGTGGTTGCCAGATGTCAGCAGTTGGATGGTCAATGCATTCCCGTGTTGAAACGGTCGCAATTTATTACCTGTAAGAGACAAATAACGATATAATTCTTTAAACAGAAAAGGTTTAGGCCATGTTGTCAAGGAGGGCGGGTGGTCACGCCCCCCATACAAACTGCTCCTTCCCGTCTCCCCCACTGAAACTACGGAGAACAAAGAAAACAAATTAGCATCCTAATTGTGATAGCTTCCATCCCACTCGCCCTTATTACGGTTAGAGTGTTGCCTACGCCACCGAATTGGATTGAGCGTCCTCCTGAATCTTTACATTTTCGAACGTGCGGTGTATGAAAAAATAACCATTTCCTTGAAGCGTGCACTCGAGCACGGAGCCAAGTTTGCTTGACTGTCATATGAGTGATTCACAACAGTGCGCCTCCAAGAGTTTGCAACGCATTGACCAATCACAACCCTCGAAATCTATCGCCCCTTTCCAATCGCGCATTGGGTCGACAGATTTTGCACATCGTAATTGGCCAACGGGTTACAAACTCTTAGAGGCGCTCTCTTGTGAAACGCCCGTCTTGGATATCTGAGAATTAGGCGGGAATGGATCGGCCCCTCTCGGATGCAAGACGTCTAATATCCACCCTTTTGTAAACCCTTGACGGCCGTCTGAATGTCCTTATGTGTAGATTATTTTTGTCTATCGTGTTTAACGAGATCCTCAGGTCCGCTTCTTCATAGCAGGATCCAACGTAATGTTGTCATTGGTGAGCGTGAACTGACCGACTGACCGACCGTTCGACTCACCGACTAATGGGTCTGTACGACTTTGGAAACTTGAATATCTGACAGTTTCTCCTCTCTAGTCTCTTGTACATTGCTACCCAATCCCAGTGGCGCATCCTGCGGGCGGGAGCCTGGGAGAGGGAAGGGAGATGTAAATTCCTTTCTTGTTTTGGGTGATTAAAAGTGGCAGCAGTAGTACTAACACCTTTCTTTTGGGGGAGGGTTCTGTCAAGGATGAAACAAATTGCACTGGACAGTAATTTTTTGGGGAAAAAATTGCCCCCGACTGGACCCCAGACTTGGACACGTCTCTGTTCAATCCCAGTCCAAGAACAAGCCGCCATTCAATGCTGATTTTTGCTCTGGTGATTTTTGAGGATAGCCTTTTCATCCCTTCACTTGATGGCGCACTTAAAAACCACAAGTGCGACTCTTGGTGGCGCTGTCACATATTTTATAATGGCAGCGCCCATGGAAGGACAATCGAGCAAGTCTTCTCCGGCAAGTTTAGCTTGTGAAAACAGTGATGCTTCACGCAAAACAACGTCTGCAGTCATGGCAGAATTTATGCATGAAAGCCATGGAGCCTGTGATAACAAAGATACATCATCAAATCCGTCATCGCCAGTGAATGCGAAAGAGAAACAAGGAGGGATGTATGCTTGGTATCAACACAAGTCGTGTTTACGTAGAGCAAACTTTGCCAGTCAGCATCGTAAGTTCTCATTGTTGTGTTGGCTTCACAGAATTTGTGGGATCATTAAACCCATTTACTTTTCACTGCTCGAGTTGATTTAAGCATACATACAATCGCTGGAATTGTTTTCATGGAACCAAGTGCTAAATCAGTAGGGGGATCATGAATTTGGGGACCTCGTTCCTATAACAGAATGGAGAGTTACATATTAACTTTTGAGTTTTGAGGGAAATTATGAGGGGAAACTGGGGGAGTTTTAACACATGACACATGGTGGAGTCAAATTTGCATGGCTGGTTTATCAGCATGACTAAGAAAGTCACATTTTCCCACCATTTAAAATTTCCAAAAAACGGGTCAGGGCAGTTCAGACAACGTTGCCTTGGGGGGAATGACCAGTTTTGCACAGATTAAAATGAGAACTACTTCACTATTCCCATCAATAGGCCTAGCAGGATAATAAAAGAACATGTTGACACTGGATAAAAGCCTGTTGAATGTAATAAAGTAGGCCTACATGTATTTTTCAGTAATAAGTAGGGCCACATGTCTGATTAACTCCTTACATTGGGCCCCACTTTTCACAAAGAATAATAAATATGCAGAGTTTTGTTGGAGGTATTTTCTTTCTTTATTTTCCCACTCACCAGACCAATGATTACTTTTTAATTTTAAATATGTTGGTTTCACCCAATTTTCCTGCACTAAAAATACCACAAAATATCAAGGTGGCCTCTAGAAAGGAGATGGGTGGGTAAACTAATCCTGATTTATAGAAGGCTGTCCTGTATCGCCTACCTTCTTTTTGAAAAGTCAGATTAAAACCCTTCTAATTTGTCATGCCTCCAAAACATTTCATACTGTACATGTAGGTTTAATTTACACATGTACACTCTTCCATCTTCTCAAAATCTTATTTCAATTTTTATTGTGGCGTTGATTTCTGAAGCCGAATTAATTTTGCCCTCGCCAGACAGATTTTGAAACACCTGAAACGCTTAAAAGAGTTTTTTCCTTAATATCACAATACGTGCCACTCTATTCAGAATGTGGAATTTGGTGCCCTTTAACATTCTGTGTTCTGAAAGCTCAGATATTTTGAGTTCCTAGAATTTTCTCATTTTATGGCTGGTATTATCAATTGTTAATTTATTTATTCTCGGTGTGGCTGACTTCCTCCACAGATCCAAATGTGAAGTTTCTCCTGGAAGCAATTGATAAATTAGGAAGGTAAGACTTGTGGGTTCTCGACAAACTTGCCCACTGATTAGTCTTAAGGTCTTATTTACAAGATTTTACATCACGCTCTCAAAATATTTGAATTAGATTTTGCAGAGGTGCCAGACTGTTTTATATCCCTTTATATATCAGCTCTCTTGCTTCGAAAAATATATCCGCATTTTGGATTCACACAAGTTAAGAACTGCCCAGTAGAGCACAGTAAGATACATGTATTTAATATCTCCTGTCGCCTTTTTGAGTGTAAAACATTTGAGAGTTTTCCTTCCTTTGGATTCAAGGTGGCTGAACCATGGAAAATGTTTCAACTTGGACCCCCGCCTTTAAAGTTTTTTACTGATGGAAAGAAAGTGTCCTTTTAAATTAAAGCAAATTTGTGCCCAGTGAGTAAAGCTGTAGTGCAGTTGTGACTAGGGGATATGCACATTGCTAGGCCAAATATTAAACCTGATGGGGGCTGAAAAATTAAAATAGGGGGACTCGAGAGTGAGTCTCGGGGGCCCATTTAAGGTACCCTTAACATAAAGGATTTTTAGTTTTGGTATATTACACTTCCGGGTATCATAGATGTCAGTTATTGCTTTAAAATTGAAAACGGATACATTCACAGCCAGCCTCTCTTCAAGATTAAGTGGTATTTTTGCTCTTAAAAGATGGAATCTTCTTGATTGCCAATTATGTAGTACCCAAAAGTTGAACTTGGTGGCCAAATATGAAAGCCCAGTTGCTACTTTTTTAAACACAGTTGGAGACAAGGAAAGCTTGGTGAGATACCTTGCTGTTTCCATGGGTCAGAGAGCACTGCACGTGGTGTTAACTCAATATGGAAGGTTACTAATAATCAGGGGCAATGGGGCTTCATATGCACATGCATGCATGTACATGTATATACGTGAACCTCAATAGTTGGCATTTGCACCCCTATCCTACTCTTATTTATTAAAGTTGTTTCCTAGCAACCGCATTTGTTCGACCAAGTGCTCTCAAAATGCCTGTGTGATCCCTCCCATAAAATCATGCATGTGTAGTTGGTTATTAACGTCATCCCTTCACAACCTTTTCAGAATGACGTGGTTTTGCCGCCCAAAATAAGCAAATACCGGTATAACCACACCAGAAAATATTACATACATGTACATGTATATCGTTCACCCGAGTAAGGAAAAAAAAAAGGGTAGAAAATGTACACCTTACTTCAACAAGCAAATAAATGTGTACTTTGGATCATCAGCATAGGGAGGCACAGAGGAACAGTAATCAGATTCTGAAGATAACAAACCAAGAAAAAAAAGACCACTGAAGTTTGGAAAGGTCCACTTTTCATTGTGGCAATTGCATGGGAAGATTTTCTTGTCAGAAGGCAACGTTACAGGTGGTAAACCCTCAGAAACTGATATCACATTTATTTGACTCTGTGGCAATTGCATGGGAAGATTTTCATGTCAGAAGGCAACGTTACAGGTGGTAACCCCTCAGAAACTGATATCACATTTATTTGACTGGCTGCACAAACCAGGCCACTCAGCTGCATATCCACTATTTACCCTAACACTGTGTAAACCTTTTCTTGTGCAGAACAAATGTGATATTTACATTAAGCAGAGACTTGTCTTTAAGCTGATCAAACTGAATGCATGTTTGTACCATATTTACCATTCTGCAGAATTCAGCATAATTATTTGTTGAAAAAGAACAATAAAAAATATGGCCAAGCAATGGCCAAGAGAACAATAAAAATGTCAGTAATTGCCATATCATACTGCACATGTGCAGCGTAGCACTCCATGTACTTCAGAAAGTTAAGAGACATCGTTGCTGTTCAAAAAAATCAGAAATAAATTGTAACAATTTTACATTTTGTGTTGCTTAATGCTTTGCCATTTCCGAAGACTTATTGAAGGCTTCATGTTTTTTTATTACCTGCTTTTTTATAATCAAATAAGTCAAACGGTGAAAAAATGTATGGCTTTGGACTGTACTTGTAATTTCTGTTAAGGAATGAAGATTAGCTATGAAAATATGGTCAAAAGTCAAAGTGGATAAAAAGGGAATCGGGGGAAATTGAAGTCAAGGATACTGGATGTAAGACTTAGGGAGAGTCGCCACTTTCAGACTGACCTATTCCCTACATGGGTGGATTCAAGTTTTAAATTTTTTTTGGGGGGGTGTTAAATTGTTTATGGGAGCCCCCCAAATTTTTTTACCGTTCATGACCTTTGTTAGGGGTGAAGCTCCATTTGGGGGCATCTTACATGCTTTTAAGGGGGGAAGTGAAAAATTTAAAAAAAAAAACTATTTTCATTACTCTTCAAAATGAAAAACACCCGGGGTTGGGTATGGCCCCTGCTCCCCCCACCCATCCAACAGTGATTGCCCACCTCAGGATCAGCAGCTTCACAAAAAGTATAAAAGTGATAAGTTACTGAATACCCTCAAACTAGGCTAACTTAGTAACTCTGATCTAATCTTGGAAATTACACTTACCTTCCCTCCTCCCACTGTCAATTTTTCTTACTTCAAAGGGATCCAAAAACCAACATTTTTGTCTGCAGAAGAAGTCAGTAGTTACCAGCAACGGAAATTGTGGAATTTACATTGCTCTTTAGGGTGATTTCAAAATTTTTTTTGGGGGGGGGTTATAATTTTGGTGCCCCTATTACATCTGACATGTATAAGATTTTGTTATTTAAGGCACATTCTACAGAGCTTCTATCTGCAGTGAGTGCTGCAACTTATCAGCTCATCAAATAAAAACTAGCATGAAGTGAAATTTTGATGATCATTTAATGGTAATGAATAGGCCAGAGGAAACACAGACAGCAAAAATGTCACACTTTTAGACCCCATATTTATGGAATTACCCAGTGCATATTCCAGATAGTTGCTTCCAATTCTGTATCCTGGATTTGGAAGGGTCACATACTTATTTGCAGATAGAAATACATGGCAGTCCGAATACCTTCCCTTGGGACTTCAAAAGAGATATCATTGAGTCTTAAAAATGTGACCAGGGCAGATTGGTGAGCATGTGGATTGGTACCAGGTAAGGCCTGTTTTAAGGTGCATGACTTGTTTCTTTCTCCAAAAATGAAAAGGTGGCAGTAATATACATGTACAGTGTCCTTTGGTGTGTTCCCTCTACAGTGAGTTTGTAATAGGCAGGCAAGTATGCTGTGAACGGTGTACAACAGATGCCAACGTCAGTGGAGGCTTTGACCCAGTCAAGAATGAGGTGAGAACATTTTATGAACTTCACAAATAAGGACGAAACTCTTAGATAGTTAACCTGTTACAAATTGATAGTTGTCGATCTTGAGTCATGTCCAAATTACGTGGCTATGGCTGGCAGTAAAATATATGCTGATCGGAAATGGCCACAGCCGAAGCTAGAGGCTTCCAAAAATGTGCTGTCATCTACCCTACATGTAGCAGCAGCCTTAAGTTAACATTGACAGGCTACCTTGCTCTGCCAGGTTCCATCATTGACTCTCTAGCTGATACCACATTACCACAGATATTGTTAGACTGCGATGTTACTAAACATAACATAGGCAGTGTAACTTGATGCTAAAGTGCAGTGTGGTCGACATGCAATACAGTGTGGTGACATGGCTCTTTACTATACATGTACATGTACATGCAGGCTATGTGGCATGTGTATATGACATGTGGGTATCTAACTAGATCTTGTTTTTGTACAGTGTACATGTTCTTGCCATCCCATCACTCCATAATCAAAAGTTGGAGAAATGTTGCCGTGAAAAGTTTAACAGATGTAACACCATTTTTTGTAAACTTAAATTGTCAGAAATAAAATTTCCTTTGAGTGTCAAGCATACATTAAATATTAGAGAAATATCATAGCCAGTAAATATCAATTAAAATAATACCATTCTGTGAAACACGAAGACCAATTTTAACTTCTTAATCATTGTTCTTCATGATCATTTTGAAAAAGTACTTGGTTTGTGCTAAGTGGCCTCAGCAGATCACACAACACTTTATCACCCAAGGATCACCAGTTAGTTTACACACACTCCAAAGTTACACAGTTTTCATAAATAGTGGCAAATATTTTATGGAAATTTCGAAAGGTTTTATGGCCCCTCAAAGATCTAGGGTACCTGTAAAACAGGGGGTAAAAATAAAAAAAAGAGGCGATAAGAAAACCCATTCATTCTTGTTTCCGGGGTCGGGCGTCGATAAAATGTACAAGTAGAAACAGAATTCATTGTGGCATTGTTGTTGTTAAATCCATCACAGGTCCGTTCATAAATCCTTTGATGAGACCAGTCACAAATCCTTTCATGCGACCAGTCATAAATTACCGCGTGAAAAATGACAAAGGAAAACTTTTATCACACATCATCTTCTGAATAGCTTGTGACTAGGCTTAAGACTGGATGACCTCGGACGGGCTTGCAACAGATGTGCCGGCCATGCAGGGACTTGTGATGGACACTACTACAGCACTACATGTACATGGGCAGTTTTTCAAAATAAAGCAGCATCAATGAAAAGTTGGGAAATTAATGGTCTCTGGAGCAGATACAGTCGGTGAATGAGACCGTTTGTGTTCAGAAAAAAACTGAAACGTTTAGACGTTTGTGAAATGGAAACAACCTGCCGACAGAAATCAAAATGAATATCACGGTGCACACGCACTGCAAATTCCAATCAGACGGATCCATTTAAGTATACAGCAGCCTATGCTGCAGTGGAAATGTTGGATGGAGCATCAGGAACACAAGAGAAAACATACAGCACTTTTGATTAAAACCACAGTTTACCTTAGCTCAATCAGGTAGCACGTATCAGTCGTTACTCCGGTTGAATGAGGCCATTTGTGAGAAGTTGTCTGACACATTACTACCTTCAATTTTTGTGATCAAACACCGGCTTGCCTTTAACTGGTCATTAAAAAAAATGAACCACTCCGGGTGACGTCTGGTGCCCAAAGCATATTAACTTTGTTCAGCGCTGGAAATTGAAAGTTAAAACAACAGTCACGCCATCTGCAGTCAGTGATCCTGAAACTGGCAGCGTGTCGCTATCATCCGTAAAGCAATGGGTTGTTGTAATTTGAAATTAACAGATCTGCCACAAGGAGCGAAATGGATAGCTACATAATTGCATGCTGGGCGGCCCTTAGTCGGGCAGGAACAGGGACATATGACATGTAGTTACACCATTTTTTAATGGAATGGGCAAGAAACAGTCCAACCTCAGGAACGTGCAATCTGTTTTCTGCACATTTTTCGTGAAAATGATCAAGCTGGGTTCCACTATGAATGTGAAACCTACATGCTCTGTTAAGAACTTAAGTAGATTAAGTTGATTATCTAGGTAATTGATTAATCACAAGTAAAAATATGTTTTTACAGATAGATGCCAAAAGTTTGCTATATGTCTATGTTCACTGATTACATGTGTGTATATAGTACTGTCCTACAAAGCTATTGACAAGAAATGTGATTCCACATACAAGACTGTGGCCCAGTATACAAACTGTACCCGGCAAACTCCAAAGGTATAGATTTCATTTCATTTCAATCAAGCCCATTCATTTTATATTTACCTTTTAAACAAGATAAAAGATTTGAAGTATAATTGATGCACGTACATGTATATTACGGTGCTCGTAGAAATTATGAGACTGCATTATTGGATCAGGTTGGTATAAACACAGAGACAATCCATGATGGTCCTGTATCCCCCCCCAAAAGATAAGAACAAAACAGAAACCTTCACATAACCCCTATAAATCTCATTTATTTGTTTTGATTTGACAAACGCTTAATTTCAACATATAAAGTTTTTAATTTTTTATTTCATCAAGATTTCTTCCATTTCATGTGCATGTACCTCAAGTATTCACAGTCAACATCAGAGCTATATTTTGAGAATTGTCTAGCGTGCCAAATTCTAACCTGTTTTTAGATGTTGTCAGATTCCTTTAATTTGTTTCAAAGTTTGTACTTTCAATCTCACTTGAGATGTATGTATTTTGGGGGGTATATTTTGAATTAAAATGCAATAGGGGAACGTGTGTGTGAATACATTTGACAAATAATATAAATTATCTAACCCCACAACATGTTTGTATTCTAAAGAGCTTCAAATTGTGTACAGAAGTATATAACAAACCTTAGGTTATATACAGCACCAAGCACTGCACTAGAAAGGTAACCTTAGATTGTAATGACTTTCATTTGCAAGTTTTCATCTACCAAACAAGAAGGGGGAAAAACACTCACGGAATCAGCAGTCAGTTTGATGATTCAGCTTGATGAAGATTTGCAAGTCACGGTCCTTAAGGTATCAGCTCACCCATCCACTCTTTGTCAGGCAAAACGGTCTTGTTGGCAGCCCTCCGAATGTACCGGTACCAGGGCTTCATCTGAGAAAAAGAGGAGCGGTCTATTTAAAAAGACAAATGGTGATTCACTTATTCAATCAAAATGTGGCAGGCCGGGTGTGTGGCATGTTGCTCCGGCTTGTCCAAAAAGCAATCAACAGCTGCAATCAACATCACTCAGATTAGAGGCTCGGGGGAGAGGGAGAGAGGGAATCTCATTTTCAGCACGGATACAGTTTTATTCTGACAAGGAGTCGATTTCTCATTAAATGGAGGAGAAGAAATGATTGCGAGTTTATGATTTCATTATGTGAAACTGTTGTTACTTTTCCAGAATCGAGCTTGTTCTTTTAATGTAGTCCCTGCCTCCTGATTTAATATTATGCAGAAGAGCTTGATTTAAAAGGTGAACACTTAGGAGCTGTAGAGTTCCTGGCGTGTTTAATGTGTTTTATGAAGTTTAATGTGGATATTGTAAAAGACCGACAAGTAACCTACAAGTGTAAAATTATTTATAATTGAAGTACCCACTCAATGCTTTTGCATTAAGCATATTCAGGCCACAAGGATGTGAGTAGAGTCACCAGTCTACTGTATAGCTACAATAAAGATGTCTGTACAAGTTTGCTTTTTCTGCAGTTTATGATCAAAGTATTTACTGTTTTCTTCTTTGAATAAAAAAAGGGTTTACATATGTGTAAAAACAGATAAATCCTTTTTTCTTTACCTTTTTATAAAATTGGTTGTAAAATGACATGGAACTGTTATTTTGTTTACAAATAGATACTTTCCATTATATCTTGAGAGTTGAAACCTCTGAAATTTGTTTCTTCATTCTGAGGGAATTTCAATCATTTGTTAAAATAATGTTTAGATTCGTGAATGGTTTCCTCCTGTGTTGGAAAAATGGACTTTTATCAGGTTTTGCTCTTTCATGTATGTGAACCGTTTCTTAATCTTTTCAAATTGTGTTGTTGTAGTCAACTGAAATGCTCTTCATTTTTGTTTCTTTTGATTTTGGAGGGGGATGAACTGAGTATTCCTCAAATTATGAAATAGAGGCATCAGGAGAGATGGGCCTATCTTATTAATACTGCACATTCTTCTGGTAGGATTGTGTGTGCAGACCTACGTGTACATGTAGCCTTTGGCAGTGTTCCACATTGAGCAAGTACCCCCTTCTCTTGTGAAGTTTGTACATGTTCTGGGCTGATGTCTTTAAATTTCCAAGGCTTTGAGCTTAGGAAATCCTCGACGTCAACAGACAGTAACTTCCGTTGGCCAAATAAGTTGAAAATACAAAATTTAAACAGATTTTAAAAAGGCTAAATATTCCTGCAGGACTTTTGGTGCCACACTAATTGTTTGTCAAATCTTTCCATGTTTACGAGGGCACCAGACTGATTAATTGCAGAGGTTTTTATCTTTTTCATCAGCCCTTATGATTAGATCAAGATCAAGTCTAGATATTAAGCACATTCACTAATACTGTTTAAACACTAATCTGGAGACTCCAGCGTGCATGCATGCTTCTCTGTCGCCAGACTTGTTCTCCGAGGATGGAGATATGATCCCCCCCAGGGAAGATATAAGACTTGCACAGAAAAAAATTCTAAAACTGAATTTATATTGTTTAATTAGGATGGGGTCTTATCTGTGACCAGTTGCACTGTCGGCTAACAAAAAGGTAAAAACAAGGAGAAAAAATTTAAAATCAATATTGTTCAGAAGAATTGATGACTTTTGTATTAATGTAGGCTGCTTGAATAATTCCTCACCAGTCACATGATCTTAATATTCATCATGTTTGTGCTCTGCACCTGGAGTGCACAAAGTAGTGTTTGTGCAGGCATAATGGAACACATACTATTTTTCACCCCAGACGACATTGTTCAAAGGTAACAATGTTACCTCTTCCAAGTGTGCATGGATCCTGGACAACGTAGCCAGTGTTGGTTGAAGAATGATTGGTTTTGAAAGTATTTGAGGGAATTGTACACATCTGATAGGGTCAGATTATACAATAGACACAGTTTATGTAGGTCCAGTGGAAAATTTTGGGGGGCTACAAACAATTTGAGGGCCTATAAAAATACCACAATGTGCCATAAAACTCCCATAACCCACAACCACCACCGAGCACACAAAATAGGTTTTAGTGCCTCTCTCTGAATTTTTGAATTAAGGAAAGCCTCAAACTATGTACATGTACAGTATTGAGCTTAATGAAACAAGAAACACCTACATGTAATCTCATACAGGTAACATTTATTGTACAGCTTGGGATTAACATGCAAATCAAGGACTTCCGGGCCTTCGAAGTTCAAACACCATGAAATTTGTGCGAGTGCCTTGGGTGGATTACAACCGACAGGGCATTTTTGCATAGGGCCTACAGAGTACTCAGTACGGCCTTACGCACAGTAACTGCAAAGTGGTCTATTTGGGCTTCCTCTTTCGTTGCATTGGGCTACTCAGGCGAGTGACACTTATCAGTGCAACGTGACTACAGCTTACCACATTGCACACTGTGCAAATTTGCCCAGAGAAATGCTACAGACCAAAGGCCATTCCTAGTAAAGAACAGTGGCTTATCTGGATTTGGGGTCTCAGGGAAAAATTGATTTCTTTCTAAAAATGACAGTCCGGCGCTTATGGTAAGCAGCACCATGAAATCGGGCCCAGTCCTGAGTAACAGTCTCTGCCTGCATCTGTTTGTTAGTGACAGATGTTGTGATACAGACTCTTGCTGAAGAACACAGGCTAATGATACCCTCATCAAAGTTGAAGATCTGCACCATAAACTATTTAGCTTCGGCCGACAGTGATACACGATACACACACATTATTAGATTACGTCACTCCTGTAACATTTTGTTATTGCCTGGCATAGCCAAATAATTTGGACGTGACCTTTGAACCTTCCTTCTCTCTTCTTTTGAAAGGGCTCCACCCAGTGGCATAATGTCCCCTCCCCCAGCGACTGCCCATGCCCCCCTGGGTGCACCCCCCCATTTGAAATCCATGAACAACCTCTGCTGCAGCTCATTGTCTTTTGATGCACCCTTGAAAAAATGTGTGCACCCCCAAGTGCCCCCCCGCGGACATAACTAGCGCTGGTTACGCCACTGGATCCACCTCTTTGAGTCCAACATTTATAGGCACAAGACTGTGAGTCTGTAGCCTATGTTCTGGTGGGCAAAGCGTTGGCACCATGAACTTAGGCAGAGATGGTTGGTGTGTTTGTTCAGCTGTTTGTGCCTGAAATGGCAGCATCGAGCTGCATATTCCTCAGCGAGCTGAGATGGTTTTCAAGAATGATTATGGGCCCAGTGAGCTGGGGTCATAAATAATGTATGGCGACTGGGTCGGTGTATTTTATAGTTGTTATTATTAGGCAAGCCTGCTGGCAGCTTATTTTTTTTGTTTTGTTTTGTGATTGTTACAGATAATTCTTTGCGAGAACAGGGCTCCAACACAGCGCCTGACGAGCATGCTGCTTACCCACGAGCTGGTCCACGCTTACGACCATCACAAGGCCAAAGTGGACTGGACGGATCTGAAAGCCGTTGCTTGCAGCGAGGTTCGTCAGTTACTTCCATCCCATCCCCTCCCTCACATGAACACTATCCTACTGCTGTCCTCCTACCACCTACCCTATAAAATTTGTCTTACTGTACCGGTACATGTAGATCCATCTTGTGCATAGATGTCGTGGCAGAACACAATATGCAGTACTAGGCCCTACAGACATCAGTGTTTCGGTCTAATCTAACACACAGCCCTGCAAGCCCATCACAAGTCCAGCACAAGTCCGTCATAAGCCATTCAATCTCAAGCTAAGTCACGAGCTATCCAAAGAGCTTTGATAAAGTCCTTCGTTTCTTTTTTTTTTTTAAGTGATGGTCCAAATTTATAATCGTTATTCCTTTGGGGTGTTTCACCCTGCTACTTCTGACCCATCTGGTGAAAGGACCTGTGAAGGAAGATCTGACGATTTCAGCTACAACACTGCTACACACATACATGTATTGATGTTAAGCAGAAGGACTTACCTCACTGAAATTGCTAACCCAAAATCAGGATGAACGGCCTGACCAGAGACAATCACCTTTTCACAATGAGACAGACTCCTCCAGGACTGATGTTAAAAGTTGTTTTCACTCGGGCTGCATAACCTGGATTGTGAGTGATGGCGGAATGATTCTTTAACCCTCCTGCTCCAAATTAGCATGCTCTGATGGAAGGTCCCCGGTCACTTACTGATAATCTGCCATTCGGTGGTGATGCAGAAAAGAGTCAATAAAGTCAAGACCTCTCCCATTCCGCCCACAACGGTGACAGCCAGCCACTGCTTGTTAGATGACTTGACTCAAAACAAGAGATCTACGGATGTGTTGTTTGGTCTGGGTGCAAAGGACATGTACTTTAAGAATCCAATTTCACTGCCTTTTTTGTCAGGGTTAGTGTGGTAAATAAGGGTATGAATGTTGGCAGAGTTTTCATCTGAAGCACAAGATTTTCATTTGAATGGACATTTTTTGCTCATATTGATATCTAGGTCACATATAATCAAGAGTAGAAACTACCCTGATGTTTTCTGGCAGTGGGTGGAATCGGCCCGCTGTTGTTTTGTACTGATAGCAATTGATGAATTATTAACGACCCAGGTGGTTAAGTTAAGGCCAGCTGGAAAGTTTGTTCTTGATTAGAAAAATCTATTTGCTACAGGGAGTCCAAAAGGTACTGGTCTGAACGAAGCAGTCTTTGTAACAAAGTTGTCCAGTCCTGAAAATCTAGGTTAATGTTCCAGTTTATTTGCGGAGCCTTTTAGTGAAGAAAGCTTGATGAACGTCCACTTCCGACTTGCAAGCCAGACAACCAGATAAATGAGAGAGAAAAAAAGAAGACAGAACTCTCTTACAGTTGGTAAAATTTCCTGTAAAGTTTGCCCCGATGGTAGACTCTGTCCTACTTTTTCTCCCCCAGTGTGCCTGCTGACTGCTGGATTATCTGAAAGTTAAAATACCCTGCTGATTTGAAAAATTACAGGCAAGCTGCTAGAAAGGTTTTTTTGAGGGGAATGCAATTTAGCTGAGTGTTAAATGTATGGACTGGTCCAGGGGATATAGGCTCGTGATTATTCATACTTACAGGGAAGCTTTGAGGCACGTAGTGCTGGGTGATCACATCCCTCAAATGGGGTCAGAAAGGCTTCATTTTTCAGAGAGGTTGTTAAACATTAACAACAGCTATTGTGAGTGCGCTTTCAAGAATTGCGCCTCCCAGTTTTTGAAATACATGTTTTTACATGAAAAAGGAGACAAATCAGTGAGCCATTGCAAATGAAATACAGTAAAGGCTATAAATTCCCTCTTTTTTTTCTGGTGGGAAAATGTGATTTGTAAAAATTATCCTTGTGAAATGTTTTCTTTTTTATGTTTTCTTTAAGAGTTCTGTGTGGTGGATTTAGTTGCATTCAAATTCTTGGCATGCAAATTTGTTGTCAGGTAACCGTCAACCTTAAGGCTGGTTCATACTTGCTGCTTATTCACTGTGTATGCAGCGGGAAGGTCTATTTTGAGGTGTCTACAGTGCGTGAACGAAAGTGCAATGCGTAATGAAATTATGCACCCTTGCACGCAGTTTGTGAAAATAATGGTAGTGCGTATGCACCAAATGTATGCGTATTCGGACAAATTTTAAAAATTTAACATTTGTCAGATACGGACACCCAGCAGAGACTTGAGAAAACATGAATGTATGAACATCAAATACGGCGTTCACATTACGCACTGCATGTGTGAACCAGCCCTTGTGGTATCATTTTCATGGATGCTTTGTGGCTTTTCTGTAGTTTTTAGGGTTTAGTGAATGTCCATTTTCAACGATACAAAAGTTATGTAACCTGAACCAGAGGTTTTGAGTTCCGCCGTTTTTTGACTCCAAAAGCCACTTTCTGATTTTTTCCTTTGTTCTATGTCCCTTGTTATTCGTTGCCTTCCCCCAGATCCGTGCAGCCAATCTAAGTGGTGATTGCTCCTTCCTGAGTGAGAAATTCTACCGTTGGAACATAGGTGCGAAGCACAACCATGAGGTAAATAGTTTTGGAGTCTGCTTGAGTTCTTAGAGATGCGAGCTGAGACTGGTGCTTGGAGGGGAGGGAAGTTGCCCCATCTTATGAAAGAATCAGCCCCTCGACACTGCTTGGTAAAACCACCCATGCACGTAGTAGCGCAAACCCCTAGGTTTCAATAGAATGCTGCATCCCAATATCAATTGTCTAGAGGTAGGTCTAGGTCTTTACCCATTGACAGTATGTGGGGGACACGCTGAGAGTGGACTTTGAAGTAGCCGTAGCTCTGGAAGCCTGTTTCGGACAGAGCTTTAATCTCATGGAATTGTGTTGGATTTGGGGTAAAATCGAAAAAAAAACAACCAAACATTGCAACTTAAATATCATTTTTCTCTCCCACCACTCTGAGCCTCGATAAACTATCCGTCCTCTTTCTTATGCTGCTTGGGCGAGGGCTGTTCACCATAGAGTGTCAGTGACCAAAAGCTTGAGCCACAGCCGTAGAATACCGGATTGGGACATCATACACCATTGGGACATCATTGTGCGAACGTCATGTATAAAAAAGTTCAGGTGTACTTCTTTTTTTGCTCCTGGAGATTAATTTGATTAGAAAAATCATTCGCTTCCACCCCTGCCTCCTCTGCAGAGGGGAGATCATCTTCCTTTACATCAGGATGGTCAATACTCAATTTCCTGTAGCCAATCTCCAGTGATTTTTGTCTCCTCTGCCCATGTAAGGCCTGTGTCAGGAGACTCGCGGTCAGCTCTATCGTCGCGACACGGGACTTGTCAAAGGAGGAAGCTGAGAAAGCTGTTGATGGTGTCTGGGCCGACTGTTTCCATGACTATGCACCCTTCGCCGACATCCCACACCGGGCAGCTGATATGAGATTCAGCCGCTTCTCCAAATACTACAATCCCAGGTGACATGATATGAGAAAGCACCGAGCAGTACAGGCTGTTACTGGAAAGTTCTAGTCATTTTTTTTTTGAAAAGGTGAACTTGGGTGAATTTTTTACCTCTAAATGATAATTTTGGCCATTCGGACAAAGTGCATTTTACCTTAGGAAATATGCCACTGTGAGAGATGCTTCCTTCCAAATTGGTTACTGGTTTGAAGAATTTGGCAGGGAAAATGTGTTTCTTTCCGCAAAGCAGTGATAAGAAATTACAGATGTTAATAATCATTCATCCCTTGTACCACCTATGTTTGATGGCAAACAAACTCATCGGTTTTTGATACATTCTTAAATACAGAATCTTACAGAAGTGATTTCAGCAATTATGGATGCAATCCTTCAACTTAGTGTGGCCTTTGGCTCAATGCTTGTCAGTTCTCCTGTGAGCCAGTTTTCAAGAACTTGATGCCTGAGCTAACATTGTGTGAAGTTTGTTCAAACAAATTATAAAAGCTTGGCATGCAGTACTTCATTTTGGTGTTGTTGCATATTTGGTCGTCAGTGACCTTAACCATGGCACAGTGTTCAACACTACTGGTACACTTGAAGACCAGATTACCATTACATCAGATAACGAGTTTGATTTATATAACGGTCTGACACTCTTATACAGGATAAAATACAAGGATAAAAATACAGCCATGGGAAAGTCAAGTAAGACCATCAGTCTGTTTTGGAGAATTCTAAGTGCAGATGTATTGTTTTCCAGCATCAACAGTAAACAACATTTGACCAAGTGGTCACCATTTCAAAAGATTTGACCTTTATGGGCTTACTGTTGTTTGCATTAAATTATTATTTTACTCTCTAACACCTTCTCCAACAATTAAACCCATCCATCTTTTCTCTTCCATTCTCCCTGCTTTTCTGTGAATTGAGAATCAAACTACACGTGCCATATCAAACTTGTTTGTGTTTGTGTCTGCCACTGTTAATTCAGATTGAAGAAGCAATAGTAAAGTTTAAAGAAGTTTATTTTTGTGCCCTTTGAACTTTGAGATCAAATGATTCTTGTGCCCATTGACCTTTGAGATCAAATGATTCTTGTGCACAAAATTTCAAACCTAACGGTAATCTGCAGCTTTTAAGAAACTTTTTTTCTGGAAATCTGTTTAGAACATATTCTAAATAAGTTTTTTTTCTCTTAGCTTTTTCTCTGGTTTTTGTTCGGGGCAAACCCCAATCCTGAAATAATCACTGCCAACATTTGAAACATTTGGCCACCCAAGATCTGTGAAAGTTTATATTTGTTAACATGTAAGTTGCTGTTTGCATCAAAGTGACTGAAGTCCAGACAGAACGGCTTAGCCTAAGGTTATCACAGTTATTTCACTGCACTATTCCTTAAGGATATGTTTTTACAATGAAGCCCGGTTTTGTTTTGTAGCACCCATCAGCAGATTGGCAGTAATGAGGCTTTATCTTCAGTGATATTATAGATTCAGGACCGTAACGATTTCATTGCATGGAAATTCTCTTTCAGAATTCAGGCATGCAGGTTTTGTTCTCATGTCATCAGTCCTCTGGATACTAAGCCAACAGGCCAAATCGAAATATTTACCCTGAAAATTTTTTTTTGAGTTTGCTTGCATCTGGTGTTTGCGCGGTCAAGACAAATATTAGTTATCAGTGAAAGACCAACATTAACTTAAAATGATAGGATTTATAATAGAATGTCATGTTACTATGGCAACCAGACATCCCAAAATGACCATTCAAGAACAAGTGATTTGGCAGAGCTGTTAACTTTCTGAAAAGTGACAGGTGTATCAATATTGAATGGTACATATGTCTTTCTTGAAGTCATCCTCTTTGGCAAAGCACCTCAAAGCAATGAAATTGAGAAAAATGAAAATTATGGAAAGTTTGTTGAAATTATGACTCATTCTCAGGATGAGTAAGTTTTCTTTTGGGGGGAGGGGTGCGGTAGAGAAGGGAGCTCACAAAGAATTCTGAAACAGCAGCTCAGTAGTTACATAGTTCAGTGAATTGACAGATTGGGACAACAGATACTACAGCCTCCCCAAAGGGGTATTTTTTTTTTAGATTGGCGAGAGATAGGCGATTTTGGGGGTACCGATTCATTTTCCTTCCCAAAACATGAAAAAGCCCCCAAATTTAACTTCACCTCTGAGAAAGGCCATTACAGCCTACATAATAAAAATTCCCCCAGATTTTCTGAACCTCGGAAACTTTGGTTCTGTATCCACCCTTGGTTGCAATGTGCTTTCAACCTTAAAAGGGCAATATTCAACAAAAATCTCATCAAATTTCTGCAGCTGTTCAATACAACAGGGAAAAAAATCAAACAATAAATGTGGTATTATATTATATCAAACTTCAAACTGAGTTCGTGGTTTTCAGTGAACTTTTTTGTTTGTGATGAACAATTTTTTTCAAAATCAGTGTTTGTAGGGAATAAAGTTTTACAGAAGTAGCCCACTTTGGTAATTAAATTCACCACAAATATTTCGCTCATTTCATGCTTGGCATGTTTTACTTTGATCTCTTGAAATGACAAAGTGCTCCTTTTGAAAATGCTCACCCAGTTTGAAAAATTCAACGATCTACACAGCAGGAGTTTTGTTTTCTCATTTCATATTTGGCTCGTTTTAGTTTGATCTCTTGAAATGACAAAGTGCTCCTCTTGAAAATACCCAGTTTGAAAAAATCCGACACTCTACACAGCAGGGGGTGTGACTACTAGAATACTAATCGGTTGGACAGTGTACTGAGTGTACTTTGAATATTAACATTTGCCCTGATTATCCTGTCATCTCTAATTAAATACGAAATACACTTTCTTCCTCAGATATGTTGTCATCACATGACATGCCATCATCACATGACATGTTGTCATCACATGACATGCCATTTTACTGTATTACTAAATACTGCTTTTATTCCCTACTTTCATTCCATTCTTCTTGATCAGACATATGCTTAACATGGTCTGTGGTTTGCACAGGAAAAAGCTGTCAAGAACCTAAGCCAAGTTTTTTTTACATGCTTTGTCACAGGCCATGGAACACATGCACAGAAATGGAATGTATGCACACATAAAAGTTCAAAATCCACTTACGATTTGCTGCCAAGATTCAAGAAGTCCGTCACTGCGTATTCCCTTCCACAAGCCATGTGGTAGCCTCGTTGCCTAGTCACAATAATCAGAAGTCAGGTGGAAGTAAGTCACTGCACAGAAGTTGATTTCCATCATGCCTACAAGCCAGTTAGTCACCGCAACTATTTCTGTAGCCAGAGGACTTCGTTTTCAACCCCCCCCCACCAAAAAGAAAGAAAAAAAGGTGAAGGGTTATGTCAATATACCTCTACCTCCAACCAAATTTACAAAGCTGAACTTTGCTCAGTGGAGCAGGAAGCACAATAGAGAATGGTGGCAACAGCTTTTGGTTGGGACTGTAGTTCTATCAATTAAAAAGAAAATTGAAAACCTGCGGTATATTAGTTTTCTTTGGGAGTTGTTTCCTCTTGTTTCGTTTGTTGATGTAGTCAACCAAAGTTTTTGGTTTGACAATCGGTTATCATTAAAAATTGCCATGCTTAAAAGTTCATGGCGAGATGCACGTCTACCCTCAAATCCTTTTGTGACTGCAGATTTTTTTATTGTAGTTTATAACTGCATGCTAATCAACATGAAAAAAATTCTGTTGACTGGACGCTTCTTCAAAAATGCCACCTTCACTTAATGTGAATGGTGACTGTTTTTCTGATGTTTCCTATCCAGAAGTTGTCTTTGTTTGTTGAAGGTTTAGGCCAGGACAGTTCCATACATAAGTGAGAATTCTATCACACTGTCACCAACCTCATTTTCATTGGTAGTTTTTAAACATAGAGAGGTGTTTGAAAAAAAGATGGGGGAAATTTGCCCTTAAATTTCAGTTATATTTTTTTGTGAAAGATGTTTTAGTTTGTGAATTTTTATTAATAATGGGGTCATTAATGGCATGACCAAATTCCACTTTCCCGTGGAATTACCCTTCAATAAACTCTTGAATTGCATATTTGTAACAGGAAAAACTCAAAACCTATTTTCTTTCTACAGTGCATTGATTATCGTCAAGTCGTTGGTACTTTTTTCCAGCCATATTGAATGGGAATAACATTGACTTGAAAAAGGAAAATGCCAGCGTTGGAACTTGTAAAATGTGCTACGCATTTTGTTGGTTCCATATTAACCACATGATCAGAAATGAATCATTCGACTTCTTTTAAAACAGTCACAATTAAAACATTTATCAGTTTGCTTTCGAACATGTCTGCCTGCAGCCCCATGGAAGGAGAAAAGGTGGTCATTCTGAAGGACTTAAAACTCATGACTCTAAGCAACTGTAACATTTTCCCCCGTCTTCAGTCCCAGGATTCCCTTTGCGCTAAATCAAGTCGGCTCCTGGACCTATGATTGAAAATATTAATTACGTCCAACTCTTCTCTAGAAAAGGCTAGGCATTACCTTGACAACGCATCCTTGCTTTCACTGCCAGTACTCAAACGTCTCCCACAGCCAGTCAAAATGAACCCGGGGGGGGAGGGAGAAAGAAGAAAAGTAAAAGAAATAAACCCCCAAACTGATTGATGGCATGGCAATGTTTGCTTTATTGAGTCTTTTACAGCAGAAGTGCAGTGGATTCATTGCTTGTGCCAATTTTGAGCGAGATTATCAACCATCTTAAGTTTTCAACAACGTGCTTTTCCAATGGAGCCTAAAGATTTTTAAAACATAGACAAAATACTAAATTGTAAACAATCATTAACTGATCAGAACTGGTTCAAATGGCACCCAAAGGAGCAAGGCCCTATTGTGTTCAGTATCATTGGCCCATTTATTGCAGACAACCAAAACACATCTGTATCAATTTAAATGCCGTTGTGCCAAGTTATTAAGAAAAAGGAAATTACTCATTTGCACCGACAGCTTTCACATCAGATTGCATGCAACCTTGGCAATTAACGGACAATCCTTTTTTTTTTTTCAAATTTTTAATGAGTGTGGAAAACATAAAATTGATAGTCATTCGTCATTTTTCACAGGTCAAACAAATGCAGACTGTGATTCTCTGAAGTACATGTAAATTTTGCATGATCAAGAGAAAACCCCCCAAAGTGAATGATCACTAACTCAAGTTACCATCAATTATCTTTAGAAAATGGAACGGAACATTTATACAGTGTCCAAGTACATTTCCAGCTGTCTCAATAAGCTTTCAAGTTTCTACAATTTTTGGGGGGGCAACTGAGATTGTAATACCACATTGTCCTCTTGAGTGTAGCAAGCTTTTATTTGAATATTTGCACAGCTTTTCTACACAGTGATTGCCACGCTCTTTATTTCACAGTTGTTGCCTTGAGTCGCCAACAAAATATCAAACACTTCAATATACAAGTACGTAGCACATTACAAAAAATCCTGACCGGTCGTGTTACAAGTTTTCCAAGCCAATTTCACTTTGAAAAATAATTCAAATATAATGTTGGATTCCTGAAAATTTGTTTTGAATTGAATGCTCCCTTACACGGTCAGTCTCTCAATATGTCAATTTCAAATGTGTCAGAAGCTTTGGAAAGAGTTTAGTCGAGAATTCAAGCAACTGGTGGAAAATTGTTGCTTTCATTCAAATATGTGTCTGTTGTATGTTCTTCCTGATTCAAGCTTTCATATTAAAATTGGATATTCCCCAAAAAAGAAAACCAGAAAAGTGAATTTTGTGAACACGTGCACAGGGAAGCACAGGTCTTCATGTCAGAACCACAACCCTGCTTCTGTTCACTCTAAATGCACCCTAATGACATTAAACACTTTTTTTTGACGTGAACCGGTATGTGCTAAAATTGGCAAGGACAATCTATTTAACCCTTCAATGAAGACCTAATACAACTTGAACACAATCCCAATATAATGTTATATATATGGTATCAATTCATCTATTGCCTTAATTACAGTGCTCCTCTGGTAACTATTAAACTTAGTACTACTTAGAAACTGAAGACAGCTGACAGTTGCGTCTTCAGGTATTTACAGGTCCCAATACGAGACATCAGAATGCTGATCTCTAAAGGTCACGGTATGTTGCAGAGTCATCAACTCTATCAGATGTATACTTGTTTACCCCCAGTTCCACTCCAGAGAAAACCCCACAACATCCATCAAAGTCAAAGAACATTGATTAAAGGTAGTATTTGATAGTAACACTACCTGCCAGAATATTTGAAGAAGTAACGAGTCGGTCACAAAGATTGCTCGTACATTTATTCAAATGCGTGTGATAGGACGAAGTACACCTTACAATAGAGTATAAACGTGGACATGGATGCCTTATCAAGGAGAATACAATGTTCCATAAACACATTCCCTTCAGATAACATGTAATTGTTTTTTGGTTTTCACATATACCTTTTCTGTACAATGTCATCCTCCAAGAAAAATAAATGAACTATTGAGTAAATATCAAGGATTATCTGGTTTGCAAATTGGGAAAATATAACTTAAAGGTAAAAGAAAGTACTTATTGGTGTAAAATATAACAGTTCCTTCTGGTCATTTCCTTGTCAATTTTACTGATGTATGTACATATAAATTTACAACAGATATTATGTGCCTGTCTAATTGCCTATGTAAACATGGCCATGTTGCTGCAATAAAAGAACACGCATTTGTTGCTCAAACTTTGAACAAAATTCCACAGTTTAACCAGTCCACAAAGGTGCTTAGTTACAAGAAATACAGTCTCAACACTCATGCACATGCACGACACTGAACAAATTGGTACATTTAACGATCCAAGAAAATACGGCCTCACTGTACAGTTCAACATACTGAATTAAACCCAGTGAAATATTGCTTGTCCGAGGGTGAATTCGATCGATTGGCGTATCAAATTTCGCCTTCTTGATTTGCATTTGAAGACTTTTGGGATGAAACTTCCATGGTGGGCACTGCATGCATCCTACATGACAATCCTCACTGCATTAAATGTACTTGCACCTTTTTGGCAGAACATGTCATGAGTTCCTACGGCATTATGTGCTAGTAAGCTTAGTAGTTAGTGAATTCAAACCAACAGAATGATCCACTAAAATCTAGTAAGGACGATATAGAATTTCCTGTAAAACTGCAAATAATTGATGGTTTTCTTGTTTATTAAATGTTAAGATTCCTGCAGTGATAAAAACAAACCTTGCTTATTTGAAAAAATAATACAGCATTCTTGGTCTTGAAGAAAGTATTGAAAATATCTGACATTGATATAGAGACATTTTCACCATGAGGCTCTGATTAGTGATAAGACGGCCAGGCATACGATTTCAAAAGTTTTTTTCTGGATTTAGCTCAAAAATGCTGGATTCTTTAGAGTTTTGAACATTTTGCTATGTACTCTAAACAAAAAACCTAAACCCAGAAGTCCATATATATCATCAACAGTAAAAAAAATCACACTTTTTACTCAAAAACTAAACTTTTAACTTTTTTACAATTCTTTCGCTTTGTTTTACTGGATTTTGTGGATTTCTCATCCACCCTAATCTCATCTGTAACAGCGAAGGAGTCAACAGTTAGGCATTCCATCATAGTGTGAAGTCTCCAAAACATTTGGATCAATACAATTTGAGACTTGGTCAGCATCTTGCATACAAATCATTGCACCGTCTCCGACATCCACCTAACACCACTTTCTCCGTCGGTATTAAGTTTGGCCAAGTCCGAATTACCCGGCTGTGGCTAATGGTAACATGCGCCCTTGTGGAAGCCACTAAGCCTGTGGCTGTAGCCATTTCCTGTAGACCTGTGTATTTCTACCAGTCGCAGCCGAGTGATCCGGACATGGCCCGGAAAGTTTCAGCCCTGAAAAGGAGGGATGGGGGGATCCTGTCTTCTACCTGATGCAGTCCAGCATGTGAATCTGGAGTGTGTCAATGTCCGGGAACTCATTCTGGCATTTAGGGCAGGTGGGGTTGGTGATGGGCTGCTGACTATGACTCTGGTCCTGCATTGAGGTGAGAAAAAAAACAAAGATTTGACTTTTAAAAATATCAGAAATGTGGTAGAAGTTTTCTTCTCCAGACTCTGCGAGTGTAACATAAACACAAACTGGGTGGGGGGTAGCTTGTGAATGAGCCATTCCATTAAGCTCCACTCCATGATGTCTTGACCAACCAATGACACAAACCTATCAAACTCCCATTTAGCTGTAACATAAAATGTGGAACTTGTTGCTCACACCACTGCTGAGTGAAGCTTATTTCAATAAAACTATTCAAGTGTAATCATGCCTTTTTAAAAAAAAAAGTTGTGACAATATTTTTTTTATGAAATAAATTAATGAACAGATAGTTAACCCCTTCATGTTGGGATTCTTTCGACCGTGACTGCTGGGCTGCGGTATGCCCAGTATACAAAGCCCTGTCCAGCAGCAGGCCCACATTGAAACTGCAGGTGCATGATGGATAGACTGTATGTGGGGTATGCACTAATCCTCACACAAAGCCCCGGTGTTTGCTGTCTCCCGGCTAGAAGGGGTTAAACAGGTTACTGTCTAGTAAATGAGCCTGATGTAACATGTGACTGCCAACTCTTTTCAAAGTACTGTAGCTGTGCTTAATATTTTTTGTGTTTACAGGGGATACCTTACCTTTACATTTTAATAGATTCAAAACATTACTTCACTGGTGCACAGTTCTCTGTGACTTAGTGACATTGGGCTCATCTTCTAAACAATGGCCCAATTTTTAAGAATAAAAGAAGTAACGTCACAGATGGAAATCGGACTTCATCATTCCAGTCCATCATTCTTTGACCTCTGTCTTTACGGATGGGTGTGATAACTTTTTAATCTGCTGTGAGATTATTACTTCAAAGGATGTAGCTGCGACATGGTTGTACCAATGGCGTGCCATGGTGCCTCAGGCAGCCGTCAGACATTGCATATTTGACCACTGAGCTCAGCTAGGGACCCAAGCGTTGATTTTTGTAAGGGGAGAACCAATAGGAAAAGCGTCAAGAACCAGGAGAGAACCAACGGACAATTATGCTTATATATTGCCCGGCTTGCAAGTCGGACCCAGGACCAAAGTGGTGAGAGGCGAGTGCATTACCCATAAGCCACTCGTGCAAGCAACCTGTTCACGTTAGAGTAGACTTACATGACTTACCACTCCTGGAGACATTCTTCCTGCGTTGGCAAGGTCTGCTGTGCCCCGGCCAGCCTGATCGACATCCACCCCTGGGTCCATCTCCGGGATGGTGTCGTAGGGCTCCTCCTCGTAAGGGCCACCACTACCATAGTCCCGGCCACCAGCATAGCCCTGGTCGTTTCTCCGGGCCTGTGCACCACTCAGGGCATTCAGGGGGCGGGAGATGAAACGTTCATAGAGTGTGCTGCCGACTCCACCTCCACTTCCTCCACCGCTGCTGCCACCGAGGGTGTTGCTGTGGCGATGCTGCATCTGCTGCAGTTGGGTCTGGGCGTGGCTTGCCAGCTGGTCCTGCATCTGCTGGTTAAGCTCTTTCACGGCTTCCAGCTCGTCCATCAGGGCTTCACGCTCCGTGTGCGCCTTCTCCCGTGCTTCCCTCTCCGCATCAAAGTCATTCTTGTAGATTTCGGCCTGGACAAAAATACGTAAAAACCAAGCCCCGTTATGCAGGATTTTCTATCAACAAAGTATGCCGTCTTCCCAGTGAGGTAAATCCATGCCGGCAACTGGGGGGTTCGGGTAATGACCCAGAGCCATGGAAATTCACTTGGAGCTTTGTTAACCCTCCTTTGGTTTTACAGCACAAATATGCACAAGTGCCCAAGGTCACTCTCTTGCATGTTGGTGCAGTGCACAACACGACACAGCTGTGCTTCTTTGAGGTGTTTACCAAGTGACCCAAAGAGTGACTTCAGCATAGGAGGGTTAATGATAAAAATGTACATCATAGGCCAATGTCTACTTACACACTTAAAGCTTACATAAAAAAGACAAAAGTTTAAGGTAAAAGTTGAAGTTATACTGTTTGTTCTCTGTTGTTTTCATTACATTTTACTTCATTTTTAGGCTAACGAGAAATCCGAAATTAACCTATGAATCTACACTTTGTGATTCCCCGCCATGTGTGTTGGGGGATCATACAGCTCATCCCGTCAAAACGTAGAGGGGGGAGGGAATAAGTACCGTCCCATCCCCAAGGGATTTACACTCGTACCTCTTCCAAGCTAGTGCGTTGACCCTGTGGAAATGGGTTATTTTTTTATCATCTCAAGGCTCCTGGTGCCAGGTGAGATGGAGGGACAGGTGGCGTGGGTAAGCACGGTGGCACTTTCCTCGCCTTCCACCCCTGCAGCCCAGGATCGAATCCCACCCAGACTAACATGGACAATTTATCTGGGATTTTTTCCCGCCTTTGAATATCAACAATTTTCTTTGTCTTCTTCATTGCCACTCATAACCATCCTGTGAATGTTGGATAAACGGATAGAACAAAAGACTCTTCCCTGCCCTTCCAAAGTTTTCATTAACTTTGAATAATTATGAAAGTGGGGACCACACAGTTCAGCATTTCCTTTGTTGGTTGACGAGGGGAACACTACAGCTGTCCCTTCCCACGCCCTGGAAGGTATTTGTTCCCCCTCCCACCCAGTCCTCACCTGTGCCTGAAGAACTGGGACTGTCTCCAGCTCCGTCTTGGCCTCCTGGAGTTCCCTCTGGACTTTCTCCAGCTGGTTCTGCTTGGCCCCGATGGCTTCCTCGGCCGACATCAGCTGGGCCGTCAGGTTGTCTCGCTGCTCGGCCAGCTCGCGCACAGCAGCGGCACTCACCCCCTGGCAAAAGAAAAGGACACACAGGACTGATGGTGTTAACATGCACAGATGCTCCGCCAAGCTTCAAGCCTGTGACACCAAGACCAGCCCACATACCAAGTTTGAAGTTGTACTCCAAGTCAAGTCATGGTGGGAAAGCAGCTGCAAATATTTTTACCATAATGACCTTGACCTTTGTCCTATGGGTCCAAAATCAATAAGCCTCTAAAAGACACGAAGATCAACCCCTATACGTCAAATCCTCAAGTTGCAGTGGAAAAACTGCGGACACACGGATGGATGCACACACACACCTTACATACCTAGTGTGGACATTCTTTTCGTGCGGTTAAGAAAACTCATTGAAAACACTCATTTTTCTTGAACTGGGAACACAATTTTCAGCTAGCTTTTTGTACGAGGTTTCCTTGACTATTCCTCTTCTTTTTACGACAGATGACCCCTACCCAAAAAGCTTTAAACTTCTTTTTCAGAGAAGGGGAAACGTCCTGTGGACATGCGTAAGTCTGCAGAACGTCTGCCTTTCCTGCATCGTGTGTGGACATCTTTTGTTCACAAGTCCACACTAGGTATGTAAGGTTAGCGCACGGACACAGTATGCTTGCTTGGTAGTTGTGGGGACAAGCAAGTATCATTACACTAATTTTGTAGGATCCAAAAACATTCTGGGGACATGGAAATGTCCCCAAACCGCAGTTCTAATTGGCGAAACAAAAGAAATTGTTCTCTTAATGTGACGAACACCTGCCCACACACAGAATGTCTTCCCTTCCTGCACTGTGTGGACAACTTTTGTTCACAAGTCCATACTACTTATGTAAGGTTAGCGCACACACACAGTTTGCCTCTCAGTTTCGCCAACTGGGCATGAAAAAGTACAAGCGATGATGTACTAAAAGCTTGGGCTTGGTGTCCCCAATTCTTGTTGAAAGACAACACTGAGTCCTGGACTACAAGTGTTGGACTGGAGTGTTGGATCAATTTCTACTGTAAAACTCAACCGACCTTTTGCAATGGTGGTTCGCAGTACTTCTTGTGTTTAATCTTTCCACACACTTTATCAACTTCTTAGTTGTCACGTAACCAGTAACTATCACATGGAATTAGCAATATGACGTTGCTGCTAAATTTCTTTTTAACGATCTAGCTCCTAAACTTTAACTTTCTTCCAATAACAGAAAATCTCATGCACGGAAATGACAGAGCTAGCGTTTTTAAGAAACCATTTCTTAACTAGAGTAAATGTCTAGAGCAGACATACCGCCACCAGATTACTTTAACCAGTGCCTTTGCCAAGTTGCTCTGAAACTTACCTGTGTGCTTCGGCTCCTCTGCTCTTCGTACAGACGGTTCAGGTTGTCGTAGTCGGCAAACAACTGGTTGTACTCCTGCCTTAAGTGTTTGTGGTCATCCATCAACTTGTCATGGTTCATTCTGAGAGGGACGGGTTAACAACAGGATAGACCAGTGACGGCCCAATACTTCAGCTTCTGAGATGAAGCTCTCGATAGTCAAGCATGAAGGAGTAGAAATTGAGTGGCTGGGTTCACTTTGAATCACCTTCTAGTTGGACGAATGGAAATTGAAGAGATTTCCAAGCCTCTTGTCTTGTTTGTATGTCATATCTGGGTTTCTACCTCCCTGAGCTAACAAGCGCCATAATGACGTGTCTCTTGATTTCTTAATATTTTTGCTTTATACTTCGCATGTCAAAAGCCAGGAATTCTATGCTATACAGCAAGTAATTAACTCCAAAGTAACAGTCCTAGCCTTTTGCCTTACTTACTCATCAAAATAAAAAATCTTTGCCTAATATTTATATTTAACTTGAAGTTGCATTCGGCTTACATGAACAATGCAGAGGTTGCCACTGTTGTGACAACTTTTGTGCACATTTTGAGGAAAATCCTTTGTTGGCATTGGCAGGCTTTGCACACAAAAGTGGCATGTAACTTTTGAGTTCTATGGATTGTAGAGCCTTTGTTCCTTTGCTTTTCCTGGGATTAGTATCCAAACTTTGTTTTACACATCATTTGAGTTCCACTGGATCATTGAATCACTGAATAGTGTGGGATTTCTGGCCAATTCTTGAAGGTTCCACAAACAAATTTTACTTGGGTTCCATCAAAGCAAGGAACCCCAATGTACCTTTCAATAAGTTTCTGCTGTTTCTCCAACTGGTATGTATCCTGTTGCCTCTTCAGCTCCTCTCGCAAAGTTTCAATCATTTGGGAATCTTGTTTCCGGACTTCCTCCAGTTCGTCGTGGTACAATGCTATCTTGCTTTTCAGGGCCTCGTTACTGGAGACATTGAAAGAAGAAGGAAGCATTGACTGTGGATTCAGACTGCAAGTGGATAAGACAATGCTAGGATGAAATTCTAGCCTCAAGGAACAGCAACACATATAGCTGAAATCCAACTTTGACATAAGAAATGAGAGAGATTGACAAATTCCTTCAGCAATGAACAATTACCAAGGGTTCCTATTGGGACCTGGTGATGCAGACCATGCTATTATTTTGATGGCAATGAGGACGCAATTGCAGCTGAATATATTCAGCCAAGTGGCTTGAACTGATGAACTGATCTGTAATTAAACAGATCCAGGAATGCCAGTGGGATAAGTGAAAAAGTGAAGGTCATATACACATAAACTGGAAATGGTTGTTATGTCTACACATTTCCAAAACACACACCAAAACAGGCATTGTTCTGAATTTCTTTCTTAAAATCTGTGCCAATTTTCGTTGTGAAAGATATGTTTGTGGAGCATGGCAATTCCACTATCCACGAACTCTTTGCGTAGAATTCAGGGGTGAGATTGGAGAAAAACGACCTATCCGCCAAAACATCCGCAGCAGCATAGGGTCTATGGTGTATATTTGTGTTTGCCTAAGGGAACCCTTAAATACCAGTTTCTTATGTTCTACATCAACTTTTAGTTAACAGTAAACATGGGATTTTCTGGACTTAAAAGAGATTGTTTGAAAAGTCTTAAATTCAGTAAAATCCTGATGAAAAAATCGAGAGACTCTCTTGGTAATGTACATGTAGTGAAATGTGAAGTTCGATTTGAATGAATCAGGTTGCGGTCTCCTTCTGGTAAAAGATTAAGAATGACCAGAGTCGAGACACAGGCCACACACACAGTTACAGCTCAAAATCACCGGTTTATTTCAGTGAACCGCCACTATGACCTCTAGGATTCCAGTCGAGTATGTTGGATTACATGTGATTATCGCCCCCCCCCCAATCATTTGGGCAGTAGTTGGTGCAACCTCCTTGCGCTCTAACTCACTCTTCCGCCATTGCCCTTTTCTTATCTTAATCTTCAATTCTGTCGAGGCACACAACCTAAACATCCAGGCTCCTTTTTTATGCACAATGCTTCACGCGCGACGCGCTAATTTGATATTGGTCGCTCATGACCTGGGGTCACGAACTTTCTCTCCCGTTACAGTGTACTATAGCAATGCCCCTTTGATCCTAAAAGTCTTTACAATAACAACTCTAAGTGCAGTGCAGTGTATACAAGTAGTGATGCATCGAGGTTGTTTCCCTACATATTAAGTAGTATTGGTATGCCTTTTGCCAATGTGAACTATGGCATTAGCCTTTTTCAGAGTGTCGGTAGAATTTCTCACAAGAGGTTTGATTTCTTTGAGTGAATAATATAAACTTTTACTATGTCACTACTGTGTAAATGCCTGTAATGCACTGTTTAAACAAATGCTATCTTTGTCTTCGTATTGTGCTTCTAGTTTCATAAGCTCACGACACTGAACCTATTTTGCTCGGGACACCGACTGAGAGGTAAAACTACACCTTGCATGCACATGTCCTTGACTCTTATCATAAGTCACACACTGTCACGGTTTGCTGCGTAGAATTCTACAATCATTAACAGCTCCAAGTTGCCAGAGTCCGACTTGGGTTATGTCGATGAACTGAAGTATTGCCAAGTCTACTGTTACTTAACATTAGCCTTGATGTCACAATTGGTTCAAGTGCACAGAAGACTCCACTAAATTTCTGCATTATGGTGTTTTTTTGGACGATAAAGCTTGAGGAGTTTGGATCAATAGATTTTTCTTTCTTTCACTCCTGAGTTTTGCTCTACATTACTGCACTTTAACAGTACTAAATCACTTCATGTCCATTTTTCGAAATGTAATTTGAAATGACAGTTTGAAAAATAGACATGTGATCAATATAGATAAGTCTTTAAACAACTTATTTCAAGACATATTGATCATTGATGACTGCAGATAAAAGGCGGAAAGTTTGTATTAAACTAAAGCATCGGCGACACCGACTGGTCAGCTCTACAACAGTAGTTACACAACCCTCCTACACTGCACAGTCTGTACACCTCTCAGTTTCACTCCAATGCACAACCAATAAACACAACTTTCTACCTGACAGGCCGGGTACTATCCAAGGGGATTCCCCTTTCACGCTCCCTTGATGCAATATCAGTGTCGCAACAGTTCATGACTCAGGAACACAAACAATAACCAAGAATTGTGCAGTGCCTTTCAAAAGAGGGAGGCCGTAGGGCTTGTTGACAGTTTTGACACAGGAATTCTATGTCAAAGTAAGTTAAGGTCACTGCTGAATATACATCTAAGCTCCGTGTACGTCCATCACCAAAAGGGTAGAAACCAAACAAAAATCACATACACGTACAATTGCCCAACTTTTTAGACATTTTAACAATGAACTATGAAAATGTAGTTGAAAAGCAAGAGCTGTGCGGCCACATAGGTGTTTCAGGTAAAGAACGACTACCCATGGCGGCAGGCACGCTGTGTCGATGTATGACTACATTACAAGTATTGCTTGACAGTGGAAGAAGTGTTGCATCATAAAGGCTGAGGGATTAATGGCTTAAAGGCGTGTGGTTCTGAATGACTATCAGTCTGTACAAAGACGACTAAGGCTGCTTCCTGGGTAGTGTGCTTGGGTGTGTTTGAACCTTGAGGCATTTCATGGTTGAATAAAATGGTTCCGCATGACTTCCTTACATTACACAGAGGTGTGGTAACAAATATTGTGTGGTACTAGGTACCTGTATGCGTCGGTGCTTAACAGATCACGTCTTGCGGTCGTTTTGACATCAATTGAGTGCACATCAGACATTCTTTTCTCGTGAAATGTCAATTTTTCTGGGAAAGGTTGGCCACTAGTGCTAACTGTTCTCACTGACAGTACGCAAGCTTATGTGCAAGAGAGCCCAAGCTCCTGAGAATGAGAGTAACGTCAAATGTCCTTTGTCAAAATCAATTGCAACTTCACAAATGAACTCAAAATGAAAGTCTTTACTCGTTTACCAAGTTTGAAGAAGATTGGTCGTGGGACGTGGCCAGACATCAACAAACACTATGTAGAGGTAAAAAACCTAGTTTCTCTCACGATTTATGGGTTGAAGTTACACAGCTGTAACATTCCTGGTATACGAGGTGTTTTTGTATAGGTAATGTAACGATGATCGGCAGGTCTTACGTTGCGCGGAGGTCTTTCACCGAGTGCTCCTGCTGCTGTAGGACATTTTCCCGTTCCTGGAGCTCGCACACCAGACTTCGGACTTGCTGTTTCAGCTCCATGCTGTGGTGGGGCTCCTTGGGAGAAAATGGCACCAAAAAAGTTAATAATCCAGTTGATGTGTGATCATCATGGGGAGCTCAGCTAGAAAAGCAAAGTTCATTCTGAAAATGTGCAACAGGAAGGCCTGTCCGAAGTTCAAGATCGAGCTGACTTTGGGTCAGATCATTTCCAATAAATATAGAAAGACAGCAAGTAGATGCCCATCATTTCAGACAAATTCAACTGGTAAATAGTTTTCTACATTCTAAATTATGTTTTGAGTTTATAAAATTTAAAAGATCCTAAAGGTCAGCAAATGTCAGAAGTCCTGAAACGTGATCCTGTTCAATACCAAGCAGGTACAGAGTGTTTTGACTAAACTGACCGACTAAACAGCGGGTTACACGCACCTGGTTGGCTATCGCCAGTTCATCTAGCTTCCCCACTAGCTCTTCCACCTGCTCCTGGTGCTTCTTTTTCAGCTCCTCCAGGGCTATGTCGTGCTCTCCGCTCCTGGCGTGCAGCTGCTCCATCAGCGTGGTCTCGCTCTTGTTCCGATCCATCCGTTCCTTCTTCAGGTCCTCCATCAGGCTGGCCACTTTGTCCCTCTCAGCCTGCAGCTGAAGCAGGACGTCCTGGAGGGCCACCCTGGACTTGTGCAAGGCCTGGCCTGGACTGAAGGGGGGAGGGGGCAGTTGGAACTGGCTGCCGGAGCCCTCCATTGCACCCTGCAGGGTGTCGCTCTCTGACGTGACATCCGATCCCACAGCTGACACCGGCGTGCCCCGGCTGCCTTGCCAGGATGCGCCATTGCTGTACACGGACACTTTAGTCTGCAACTCATTGTTGAGGGCCAACAGGTCCTGCTTCTCGAGCACTAAGAGGTCCGCCTGCTGCTTGTAGTGTCTCAGCTCTGCGGCCGACTTTTGGAGCACCTGCTCCAAGGTGGCAAAGTTGGTTTGGATGTCCGCTCTCGTGCCCTGCACATCCTTAATGTCTTTCTTGAGTTGAGAAAGTAGGGAGATTGGCATTTGTGCCGATATGTCCTCGCTGCTTGATTTAGAATTGTCCCGTTCAAAGAAAACCATGACCTTGAAACACAAAGAATCAGAACAGTATACAACATAAGCCTGCATCTTCTTCATTTACTCCTCAAAACAGTCCTGAATCTTCTAGCCATTGGAGGAAATTTGAGCAGTTGCTCAAGGTTTCTTTTCAGGGGATTTCTCTGTGCTATGGTAAGTGGGATAAACCAGCCTTGCGACAAAATTTTCAAATATTGAGTACAGAAAGGGGACCAAGTACAATCCGCTGCACTTTCTTGACCCTGAAATTGTTGAAACCTACCTCTTCATTCTTTTCTTTTAACTCCGCCTCAAGCCGCTGTAATTTGGACTCGTAAAAGTGGACCTTCTCTTTCAATTCTTCGTTCTGGACTTTCAGGGCACTTTTCTCCTGCATGTCAAAGTGGGTGCAAAACGTTGCCATTTTTACATCAAACTGTGACAAAATTAGCACAATACACCGACTAAATGCCAAATTAGAGTACCCCTTTTCCTTTACACAGCAGTGGGGTGATGAAGCATTTAAAAAATACAACTCACGTTCTTGGAGCTTGCTATAAACATCTCCCTTCTAAGCAGCAAACAACTGGTATTTCAATAACACTTGCAAGGGTGGATCCAGACCCAAAGTTTCGTGGGGTCAAAATGTTTTCTTAACGGGGGCAAAAACCAGCCTGAAGCAAGCTATTCCATTGTGAAAGTCAGAGAATAGGAGACACTATGAATGACAAATTTGGGTTCAATGAACACTCAAGTGTCGGCATGCATTCTGGGGCCAATTTGAAGAGAGTTGCCCAGTGCAGAAGTTGGTTTAACACAGATATCTGCCAAGTGGAAACAGGGTACCGGCCACAATTCATAAAAATGTATATTGCTTTTTGCAGGTTGCCAGTTGGTAAAAATTTGATGAACGAAAATTTTCGCCATCTGGTCCATGGAACTATGTCCTGATTTCTGCATAATCTTTCCACAAAGTTTATCTGCTACACAGGACCGCTGAGTTTGGATTTTGAATTTCCAAGGAACCTTGTCAGTCCATCCCCCCCCCATACCTGGTCGTCAGCCTGCTGTTGATCTTCTAGGTTCTGGACCTGGTTGCGTAACCTGGTGATCTCCAGGTTGGCCAGCTTGCGGAGTTCCTTGCAGCGTTCTGTCACCTGCCGGTTGCTGTTTTTCATTTGGAGAAATTCCTTGGTACGGTTCTCCATCGTATGCACCATGTCGGTTAGCTGGACTGTAAAAAAGTTTGAGAAATCAATTAATTTAAACATCACATTCTAATCAGCAAAAAAGTTATTTCTAGCAACTTTTTCTTTTGAGCTCTTATTTAGCAATACTGCTCACATGATGATTACATACTACTGACTTTAAAAACCATCACAACTGTGGCGCTGATACGTATCTTTCAACCATATCTTCCTTCTGAAAGCAAGATTAACTTTTTAAAAAAAAGCACAGGCTATCATTACTTTTGATGAAAGCACTGAAAAAAAGTTGCTGAATTGCTGACACTATTGCCATGTAGTAACAGGTCACAAAACCAAAGATGACACATGTTGTTGTTCATAGCTGGCATCTGAATAGCTTATTTGAATTTACTTCCGGCTGACCTGTTTCAAGGCTCAAAATGAATCTCAACTTTGATAACACCTTCTTCCGAATGAGCCAACCTCTACGCTACTCTTACAACTAGTTTGGCGTCCTCGGAATCCTTCCTTGCATATTGTGATGAGAACTGTGTTCAAGTTCCACAGGAGCACGTGGCTTACCTCAGACTCAAACCCAAAGTTTGACTGAGTCTTGCCGCGATTGGCTCCGGTCACCGCAAACACGTTGTGACTGCCTCAAGGAACCACATGATGACTCCAAGAGGAGTTTCGGCTTACTCTTGACAATTTATAGTAAATGCTTCAGATTCTTCAGCTTTTAGTCCCATAATTATTATTCAGACGCCTGTTCACAAACTTATGTGAATGTGGAGAAACTGTCAAGTGTACACTCGTACTGACAATAGGAGGGCCTATATACTTCCTGACGACTCCGTCACATGCATATCATTAGCAACTTCACTAGTTACACATGTATCATGATGATAGGCCTCATTGTGCACTGACCATGCTGGCATGACTGGGTGTTACACAACTATAACAGTGCAAGATGAAAACTAGGCGAAATTGGGCACTAGATGTTAGCTACAGCTACAGACGTTTAAGGCGTTAGCTACAACTACAGACGTTAGATAACAATCTGCAATAAGAAATAAATAAAACAGACTTATTACTTTGTAATCCTAGCATAGTCATGAAAAAAGGGGCCTAAATTATAGGAAAATACATGTACACGAGCATGTGGG